TTTACCATTTACTTTTTGAAGTGAAATCATGATCCATTTATATTTTTTTTTATTATAATTTTGTATTATAATAAGTAAATAAAATTTATGAAATAATTCAAATTATAATTTGAAGTTTGACTAAACATGAAAGAATTCGTGACATAAGCAATTTATAATCGATGTTTAAGATTGTTTCACACATTTTTGCTGAAAAAGAAATTAAATTATAACAAATTATTTAGAGTATTTTTTACATCAATTAAAACACTTTTTATTTAAAATTAAAATAGGATAAAAGTATTCTCCCAAATTTGGGAGTTGCTGTTATCCTAATCAGTATACATAACCCCTCTCATATTCATTTAAAAGAAAATGCCTTTCAAAAAAGATTTACGACTTTTGTTGAAGCCTTACTATTTTATAAATATTTTACTTAGTCTTTCATACATTATTTCCAAACGTATACCAATTGTTTGTAATTATGTATTCGCACAAGCTGAATGTGAACTTGATGGAGTAAGTCATTTAAATATAAAAATAGAAATATTATTAAGTTATTTGAATAGAATATATTTTATAGTAAATATATTTTTGTTTTAGAGAGAAACAGAAATACTATTTTTTCTCATGATAGTGATAATGATAAGAACACGAAAAACTGGAAGTGTAACTATGATAAGCTATTTATCATCCAGCTTTGTATATACTAAAGTTGCAAATCTGATTCTTTGGTTTTATGCAGATATTCGTATGGGAATAATATTTGCTATTATATTCATTTGTAAGTATTTATTTGATATAATAATTTTCAAATAAACATTATTATATAATTTAATAATTATAGTATGCGGTTTAATGTTTCCTGAACCAACATATCAAGGTCCAGAAAAGGTAACATATTTACGTGGTGCAAATGGATTACAAGAAGAACTTTACCGTGATACAAAAATCATTTGGTTAGTTGCATTCTATACAGCTTGGAATCCAGCTTGTGTTAACTTCGCACCAATATTCTCTGAACTTTCAGCAGAGTTCGTAATGATCAATCATTTATATATTATGAATAATTATATAATATTATATTAAAAATAATATTTTATAAATTTATAGATATGCTTTAGAAAATTTGAAATTCGGAAAAGTAGATATAGGTAGATATCCGGATGCTGCGCTAAAATATCATATTAGTGATGCTAGTACCAGCAAACAACTTCCTACCTTAATTTTATTTAAAGAAGGTAAAGAAATAGAAAGACGTCCACATGCAGATCATAAAGGAAAACTGATTAAATTTCTTTTTTCTTTGGTATGTATAACAATAGATTTTTAAATTTTTGAATGTATATATGTATATAAAAAAACTTGAATTATTTTTTAGGATAATATAAAGGCAGCTTTTGATCTAAATAATATTTATAGAGATTGTAAAAAAAATCCGATCAAAAAGAAGGAAAAAAAAATAGTAAAAACAAAGTGATCTAATCAGTATTTCCAAATATTGAAATGTTTACTATCATAGCACTGCCAATGCGATTTTAAATGAAGATTACTTTATATAGAATAATGGAGTTTAGAATAACCAATGTCTTGCGCAATTTCCATTTATAGCGAAACTGCAAATATTTTGTAAATATTCATTATATTTTCTATCATTATGTGTATTTTTAACTTCACTATAAGTAGATATTTCTTTATATATTCTAATTTATTGTATATAAATACTAATACACTATAAGATATTAGGTTAAGATATTAATTTATTAAATAGTTATATTAATTGAAATTAAATAAAACATAGAGCGCTATGTGTATAAATTATAATTTGTTGAAACCAAAGCAAAATTTCTAATTAAGTTAAACATAAATTATATGCAATATTGCAGTTTCGTTGAATAAACTGAGTAAAATTTTGTTGAAATAGATAATTGTAATAAATATTAAATATTTATATATTATAAAATTCAAGTATTTATACAATATACAATTGTGGATATATAATTTAGCATAAAATTTATCATACAGGTGGCCAAATGATCATGATATGTCCATGCATTGATTCTGGCAACCATTTTTGATAAGCTGATAAAAGAACTGAAATTTATAATGATAATTTCTTAATATCATTGTGATCATATTTATGTACGAAAAACATATACTTACAATTTCTATCTGCCTTCCAAGTTTCTAATAATTGTATTTTTGACATAATTCCATGAGATAATAATAGTTGCGTCATTTCTTGTGTTCGCGGAATTAATCTAAAATTCCATGTCAAATTATTAATTTTGAATTGTTTTATTTATTTTAACTCTATTTAAAATCTTACTTAGCCCATGCTTTGGTAATGCTTTGAGGAGTTGATAATAATGAAGAAACGAATTGTTTTAATTTTGGAAATACTTTTCCTTCTAAAAAAAAGCATGCAAACCATTTAACCCCATCTATGGATAATGGATATTCCATATCCATTATTGGTAATTTCCAACCTGCTCTTCCGAATGTTCCTGTTATACTACACATTATTTTTCCAGTTTCTGGATCATACCTTCATAAATTAAATAGTATAAGGAAATGTTTTGTTATAAAAAAAAAAATATAGATTTGTGTACCTTGGTGGTGGATTAGTCAAAGGATCTCCAAGCTGACATAGAGAAGGAGCAAATTTAGGAAGCCATTCTGATTCTATAGCTGTGACACCACGCATATACATTTTATTTGTTTCATATATTTCTTGATAAACTACCCACTCAGGACATATTTTTCGGAGAACACATGAGGAATGTAGAAATACTGGATCTTCCATATCTACAGTTCTAAAAATTATCTAATTATATATTTAAAATGATTAAATATTTAATAAAAAAAATATTTAATATCTTACTTATAGGCATATTTCCATTTAGCTTTATCTTGATCTTCATTAATCTCATCTGGCATCACTTTTTTTGCCACTTGATCAGTCATTCCTGCGAGAACTATTTGCCTGAGAAGTTTGGCTTCCATATCAACTGGAGGTTTCATCCTGAATTAAAATTCAAAATCATAGAAATAAATTTTTTAATAATGTAAATAAAAATAATTAAGCACTAAAAAAGTAATGAAAAACAAGAATATATATATAGAATCCCGATTTTCTGAGAATTTGAATTCTCTGTAGATGTTTCCTTTTTTTTTTTCTTATTATTTATTATACATACTGTGGATCAATGATGAGATTTAAATCTTGAATATTCAAATTAATTTCATTTGTTAGTTGCTGTCGGAGTTTTCGAATTTCCACAATGGCTTTATGTCGTAAACCATGCTCTTCACAAAAAGAAAATAATTTGCCTTTAGTTCCTGCATATTCTGCACTTCCTACAGCTCTGATTAAAACCATCAGATCACCTTTTTCATAGAATATTATATTTAATTAATTAATATATTTACATCTTATTATCATAATTTTTAAAAAATTTAAATCATGTACCAAGAAGTAAACTATTGCCGGTCCCAGCCCAAAAACGTTTTATTTGTAACCACTTATTCCGAGAATCAACATCTATATCAAATGTTTCCATAAATATCTCTTGAACAGAAAGCGCAGCCACCATACACACTGTGTATTGAAGAAGATTATGTTGATGAGACAAAGCTAACATTTTTCCATAACGAGGAGCAACAGGAAATGCAGCTATACTGCGACCAAGTGATGTTACTTTAGCACTATATAAATCTAAATAAAAAATAATTACAATGGATAAATAATAGATTATATTTTATTAATAAAGGATTATAACTATACCTTTTTTTTCAATAGCTGGCTGTTCTAAAATTCCAAGTATTATTAGTCTTTTTTCAGCCATTTTTAATTGTGTAGCATCTGGTGGTGTTGGAAAAGGAAAATTTACAACCTTATCAATATTCATGATTTTCATTTGTAAAATTAAATCATCTACAGGTTTTCTTTGAATCTCTGATTGGCTAAACTGTTCAAAATGATCATTAAACATTGCTGAAGAATATAACCTGCAATTAATATTTATTAATAAAAAAATTATATTTTCTAATTATGAACTAATATTTCAAAATAAATAAATACCTATAACAATGTCCAGGACCAGTTCTACCAGCTCTTCCTGCCCGTTGATTAGCAGATGCCTTACTGGTATAGTAGACTTTGTATGTATTAACACCAGTTACTTTATCATACATTTTTATTTTACAACGTCCACAATCTATTACGTATTTTATATTAGGTATAGTTAAAGAAGTTTCTGCTACATTTGTGGATACCACACATAAACGATGACCTTCTGGAGGTGGTTCAAATACCTAAAGATAAAAATTATTTAATTCTTGTTAAATTCTCAATTGCTATTTTTATGAATTATAATATTTTTGAACTTTTAAATTACTCTTGCTTGTTTATGACTTGGAAGCAAAGAATACAATGGTAAAACCCATAATGGTTGTGCATTTATGCAAATCTTTGGATTAATCATATCTTCATCTTCACTTTCGTCTAATTGTTCTTCTTCATCATCTTCTGCAGCAATTAAATCTTCGTATGTATCATCAATAGGAATTACAGAATAACTAAAAAATTAGTGTATGATTATAAGATAATTGGGAATAAAGTTATATAATATGTAATAATTAATCATATAAAAAAATAAATATGTTTTATTACTCATCCAGATTAATGTTTGGTAGTTGAATGTGTTTTTTTTGACGTAATTTGTTATAACGAATAGCTTTTTTGTAACAAAAATCATTATCACTATCAATATTATCGTTTTTGTTATTATCATTTTTGTCTTGAATATCTTCTTTCTTTTTTGAAAAATCTTTATTTTCTGATTTTTCTATCTTTTTTGTAATTTCTTTCTTATTTCTTGTAGAAAAAGCTTGACGCAATTTCCGTACTACGAAATTTACCTCTCGTTGTCCTAAATTAATGATATATATTTTTAAAAAGAATATATTATAAAATTTATAAATAATTTGAAATTTTAAAGAATATACCTGTCAAAAATATTAAAATTCCACCATCAGGAAGTCGAGTATGTATTTTTATAGCTTTTTTTAAAGCATCAGAAATATAATTAATGCTTGTCGTTTTATTAAAATGTATTGTAACAGGAAATTGTCTTGATTCCACTGTTAATACGGGTGGTTTCATTTTAAATAATTTGTTATTTTCTACAAATTCTTCTACACGTAATGTAGCTGACATAATTATAAGTTTCAAAGAATTTTTTCTTTTATTCCGTAGTGGTACAATTCGTGATAATAATCCTATCAAAATATCAGTATATACACTACGTTCATGTGCTTCATCTAGAATAATTATCGAATATTTTGTCAATAAAAAATCCTAAAATATTAAAAATTCTGATTATAATTAATAAAGGATTCTATTCAATTTTTTTAAATAATTACATACACTTTGTATTTCCTTTAATAATACACCATCAGTCATAAACTTGATTTTTGTTTCAGGTGTAACATTTCCTTCAAAACGAATCAAGTAAGAAACTTCTTTTTCAGTAAGATTCATTTCTTGAGCAACACGTTTACTCATAGATATAGCTGCTACTCTTCTTGGTTCTGTAATTCCAATTAACTTTTCTTGAGCATAGCCAGCTTCATAGAGAAATTGTGGAACTTGCGTAGTTTTACCACTGCCTGTTTCACCTGTGATTATTACAACAGGATTTTCATTAATTACTTCCATTATAATTTGTTCTTCTGCTACTATTGGTAATTTTAATCTAGCTGCTTGAATTTCTGGTTTCCTTTGCAGCATTACAAACAGAGCAGACTTTTTTTCTATCAGTTGCTGTGGCTTTAAGGATTTTTTAGTTAAAGTGACTATTGATTTTTTTTCTTCTTCTATAGTATTTTTTGTTACATTTCCGTCTATGAGATCATTTTTTTTATTTGAAATATGCTCATTTTTTTCCTTTATTTTATTTTTTTCTAAAGACATAATATTTGTTGCATCTTCTTTCTGCTCATCTTCATTATTTTTTGTATCTGATTCTAATTCGCTATTACTAGATTCCTATAACAAATTACATTAACAATTAACAATATTAAATATTAACAATGTTAATATTTGATTTATTAGATGGTTATTAACTTACATCAAATCCAATAACATTTAGATCTGAAATTGTTTTTTCAATTACTTCTTTTTCTAAAATAGCTAATCTTTTTTTCTTGCTAGCTCTAATAGCATTTATAGGCATTTCTATTGTATCATTTTCATTTTTAATATTCGAATCAATTTTATATTCTTTAACAGATAATTCTGCTTCTCTAAAATGACGTTTTAATCCTTTAGTTTGTACACTTGTCAAAGATATATATTGTTTTAGTTCTTCTGGTGATGCTTGTACTTTTACTAATTCTTTTAGAAGTTCTGTTCTCTGTTAAAGTAAAAAAATAAAATAAAAATAATAAAATAATATAAAAAATAAAAATAAAAAAATAATATAAAAACAAATTTTATGCTCAATAACTTACCTGTAATTTTTTTTTCTTTTTTTCTATAACTTTTTCTAATTGTTTTCTACGTTTTTTAGATAATAATCGAGTAATAACAGTATTTTTAATTTTCTTTTTGGTTTTCCTCTTTTCATTCGGAAGAACTAATGCATTACAACTATCAAAATTATCTTCACGATGTATAATATCTATGGGAATCTAAAAAAGATTTTTTAAATATTTTTTTTTTTTCGTTTTTTTCGATAATATATTATATATATTATATAATATATTATATATATAGAAATACCTTTTTAGTCACAGAATTATCAATTATAACTTCTATATTATTTCTTGCTTTCCAATTATATTTTTTTCTTCCCATATTTATTTGTGTGAAAATTTTTCAACTAAAATAATATTATATAATTTCTTTTTTTAATATATTTTTACAATCATTATTTTCATATTTTATTTAGTTTTTATTTATACATATATTATATATATATATATGTGTATATATATATTACTTGAGTATAATTTTAACCACGTGTATAAATTAAGTGTCAACTAACATTGTTTATGAAAGAATACAGAAATAATTATCTGTAATCGACAATCAATATATCTACGAACTAATATTTTAATATTTAATATTTTAATTTATTTATTTTTTTGTGCTTCAAGAATATTTTTCATTTTCTTACCGTTTTAGTTGATGTTTTCAAAGCTAACATATAATAAAGGTAATTTAATACAGTACAATACAGTACAATACAGTACTTTACAATACTACTATATTATATTCCCAAAAATAAAACTATATTTTTTAAGTTTTTGAATTTAATAAAAATATATTTATTTAATTATATGAGATATATTTTGCGAAATCGTCATCTTAACTATAAATGATCCAGAAATATATTATAAAATCGAGAATATAATTCGAGAATAATTTATATATTTTTTTAATATTTATTTAATATTTATTTTAATATTTTTTTATTATTAAATTAAGATTTAATCTTCTACTTTAAAAAAGAAATGATAAAAATATAATATGATAAATAATTAATATTAATTAATTTTATCTCTTAAGTAATTGTAAAAAGATATTTTTCAAGAGATGGCGCTAATTCATAATTCTTACTCTCTTATTTTTTCTTTGAAAAAATATCTGTGATATTCAAAAGATGGCTTTGATAGTCAATTTTTATTCTATTTCTATTCTTTTCTTATTATTGACTCTCCTTATCTATATATTAGTTTTATTTACAGATGGTGCAAATTCTCATATTTATCTTACTTCCATCTTTATATTTATCCTAAATTTCATTTGTGATAAATTAATGAATATCAACAATAGATAAAGAAAAAAATATTATTTTCTAATAATTTCACAGGATGTCGCTGATACATTAAACATGTGATATTAAAAGACAATTTGTTTTGATAAGTCATTAATCTGTCATGAAATAATTAATTAAAGAAAAATGCGATTAATTTTTTAATTATATTGTGTAATTTTTTCTTTCTTTTCAAATATTAATATACATACTATTATGTGAATCTTAAAAACTTATCTTAAACTAGATTTTTAAACTAGTAATAAGTATTTCATATAGTGGAGGTTATGTTAATCAAAATTTATAATTAAATATATAATTAAAACTTTATATTAAATCTTAAATATAAGATATGGATACAGGAAATTCGAATGAAAATTTACATCCAATTTTAGAGACTCCTCCACGTGCTGAACGAGTAAGTTTTTGATATACTATCATAAATTTCAATTTTTCTGAATTCTTATATTATTTTCCAGAAAAGTACACGAGGATCGCGACAAAAAGGAGTAGATAGTGTAACAAAAAAATTTCTACGTAACTTTGACCCGGAACATAGTGAAAGAGAAAAACGAAAACTTCATCGACGATTGTATCAAGGTCACAAAAGACATGCTATGTATGATGAAAATGGAGTTTATACTCAAACAGGAGATGATCTTTGTGATTGTTTAAATTTAAATTGTGCTGGATGTCATTTTCCTTGTCCTAAATGCAATTCTCCTAAGTGTGGTCATGAATGCAGGTATGATATTAAAAAATTACTTTATTTTTTAAATGTTAAAAATAAGTTTTTTATTAGGAATAATCGTAAGTGGACATATGAATCCATAGAAAATGAAGGAAGCGATGTCATCATAAAAAATCCATTACTGAAAGAAACTTGAAGTTCAAAAATGAAATCAGTGTTTTAATTAAATAATTATAACGTTAGTGATAATATTATTTTTATAAGAAACACTTTATGGCTGTGCTATGCAAGAACTTTATTATCAATTTTTCACCAAGCTATATACTTATATTTATTTTCAATTTTATTAGCATTATACATTACAATTATAATAATTAGAATATAAAAAATGATATATAAGAATATCTATATCTTCTATTTCTTTATAATATTATAACTTTATAACTTTTAAATTAATATCCCTTGTTAAAATCTCTTTTGGATGCATGTAGAATTTTAAGAATTTTAATGCATCTGACATTAGGCTTACCATTCCTGTTCAAAATGAATCCAGCATATATTTCAGCAAAAAGTCAAGGAAAAACTATTCTAAAATATTCTGTAAAAACAAGAAAGATTGAAAACGCATAGTCAATGATGCACGTGCATGTTCACAAATACACGAATATGCTATTGATTTTCCGCGGTACTTTTGGCATAGTGCGCACGTACCTAACGCACATACACACATTCAACTGGCGGAGTAGGGTGAGTCCCGGTGCGGAGGGCGTGCGTTTCGTTTTCCTTTGAGATCGTGAAAGTTTACAGCAGCGAGCAGCCGAAGATAGAGTGCTACGAATATGCTTATTCTGTGGCCATTGAAAATCGAACGTAATATTTGTCAATCGATTATTTGGTAATCAACAATCGTGATTAAAGTATTGGATATTGGATAGTAATTATCCGAACATTGACACGAGACGAACATTCTCAAGCCAATTGTTATTATCCTAATTCTTGAAAGGATTCACGTTGCTTCTTCCTTTGGAGTGGAAGAAGATTCTTTATATTTTAACAAGAATTACATTTGAACGCGGTTTTTATCATTATTTTTTAAATTAAAAAAGAAAAATTGAGAAGTGCATCAAGAAAATTAACATTTTTTCTAGGAATAATATAATTTACCGGAGATCTAAGTGACTTGAAGAAAAAAAAGCGCACGACAGTGTCGTCTGCTATACAAGGTTCATCAAATACTTTATTATCTGCAGACCTTCCGCATCATCGGGTCAATACGATCGAGATCTTATCATCTAATGCGTGACGCGTCGACATTTAACCGTGGTCGTGGTTCAGTAATCGGTTACGTATATTTTCAGAATATACCTCTGTTATGTGTTTATACTGATTATTTATTTTTTATTTAATTTTTTTTAAACAATTTTGGAAATGATCAAATGATGGAAATGATAACAATTAATCAAATATTGATACAAGTTTCTTAAATTGGTTTATAATACTATAATCATTGATCTCTATGTGAATATTCTAGTGAAAATCTTGTTTGATAACGATGACAAGAGTCTCGAGTCTCAAACATCACTTGTTGAATATATACACATGTAGAGGGATGATTACGGGTTATAAGAGGATTATGAAGTGGCATTTATACCAAGTCGTCGGTTTTTTTCAGCGATCAAACATCACAATATTAAGAAAATGATAATAATATATATTTATTATAGAAGTTAAAAATTATATTAATAAATTATAAAGATAAAAAAAAGAATGTAAATCAATAATTTGACGTTAAATTTTTTGAATTTATTAAATTGACGTCAATTAAAGATTTATTATTATGATAATTTTATTGTTGTCCAAAATAATTTGCTTTATACAATCAATTAGTAATCATCACATTCTCATGGAAATCGAATAAAAAAAATATATTAATCAATGTAAATAATCAGCAGAGGTGTAAAAAAAAAAAAAAAAAATATTAAAAAAATGAAAAAAACAGCAGGGGGGTAAAAAAAAAAAAAAATATTAAAAAAATGAAAAAAACAGCAGGGGGGTAAAAAAAAAAAAAAAAATAAGAGAACTATAGAATGGCGGAGGGTTGTTGCAACTTTTATGCAAAATCCATGGATTTTCAAATCAATTTCGTTTTTGTACGTTATGCATGACAGATAAATTTATACTGAAGAGACCCCGGTTAACGGGGGTTAACATCATCGGGACGGCAGATGTCAGAATGCCAGAGCAGAGCAATGATTACCGCGTGGTGGTGTTTGGAGCGGGTGGTGTTGGCAAGAGCTCTCTCGTATTGCGTTTCGTGAAAGGAACCTTTCGTGAATCTTATATACCTACTATCGAAGATACATATAGACAGGTAAGTCTAAAAAAAAAACATAAATCCTATATACATATAGTACTATATCCTATAGTACTTTGTATAATGAACTCTTATCTTGCATAAAGATTAATAAAAAAATTTTTAAATTTATTATTTTTTTTTTATTAAATATACTTTACTATTATGTGTAAAAAAAATATATGTCATTATATATATATAAAATTAAAGATTATAAAAAAATTATAAATTTACCAATTTTTTTTATATAATTTTACAAATATAGAATGAATTTTTGTCATATATTTCATTTTCAAAAAAATTACGTTCTAATATTTATAGTATCTATATTTATAAATGCGAGATCAATGTGATTATACTTGCGAATTTTATTTTTAATTAATTAATTATTTCCAGGATACCATTATAAACAAAGTTTATTATTTTTTTTAAAGTAGAAAATTGTTTTGATTCCTAATTTCAATGCATTTTATATGACAATTTTTGTATTTCTCATTTAAATTGATTTTGTAATCCTATGTTTCAAAGTGATTATGTAAAATTTTTAACCGAAATAGAATTAGATTGGATAGGGAAATAATAAATATATATCGTATATGATAATAAATTTTTTAGATCAGATAAATAACAGGAATTTTCGTGACGTAAATTGCTGACGCTTCGTTGATGATTCATACATAATGCAAGATTATTGTTTTAATTTAATCGCTCATTTTCAAATTATTATCTTATTCTGTAATTATAATAAAATTTACATGAAATTGAATCGCAATTAAGTAATCGATTTTCTCTTTCAATTCTTTTTGTTTCTTTTATTCGTATTTAAATATATATGTTTTTAATGTTTAAATATTTTTAATTTGAATATCTTTTTATTGTTTAATAATTAACAATATTTTTTTCTTCGTAAATATTTAAGAACATAAAGGATACTTTTAGCTTATACATTTTCATTTTACTCTATGTTGTATATCATAAATATTAATTAAAATTTGTTTTTATCAACTTTAACAAAAATATTATAGATTGCGCAGTAATTGGAATTGCATAATCGTTCGATTAGTCAATAATTCAATTTATCGACAGTTTCGTTCAATTGATTTTTCGCTGATACCGATCGAAATTGTAATAGATTTAAATTATTTTCTAATCAATTCTTGCAATATTAGTTTCAAGCACATTGGAATTACTGAAGAAGTTTTGAAAAGAAAAAAAGTATAAAAGCTTCGTTGGTGAAATTGTTGAGACCTGTGCTGTGTGTGCGACGAGAAGCGTGACAAAGAATAAATAAATAATGAAATGGGACGATTATGATACGATATTTCAGGTGATAAGCTGCAATAAAAATATATGCACGCTTCAAATTACCGACACAACGGGGTCTCATCAGTTTCCCGCGATGCAGCGGCTTTCTATAAGTAAAGGTCATGCCTTCATCCTCGTATATTCGGTGTGCTCACGGCAAAGCCTCGAGGAATTACGACCAATCTGGGCCATTATTAGAGAACTTAAAGGGCAGGATATATCACAGATACCTATAATGTTGGTAAGACCTATTTTTTAACATGAATTTTCAATTGATACGTAGAGATTTTTAAGTTTAAAAAATCTTTCATCGATATACGGAAATATTACAAAGAAAATATAAAAATTTATTATAAATAATATCGATGATCTTATCAATTAATTATTTTCTATCGATAATCTTAATGACTTTCAAATATATTGTAAAAAACTTCTTTTAGTCGTTTTCTTTAAACTTACTTTACTTTAATTTTCGAATTATTCAAAAAAACTTTTGATGCTATTAAGATCGACGAAGAGAGCGATAATATATATATTATTAATATTATTAAATTTTTTAATAATATAAGTGATATAATAATAAAAACTATTCAAAAGAATTTTAATAATTTTTTATATAAATTTTATTTTTTAATTATAAATAAAAAAATAACAAATTTATGATTTGATTTTTCGATTCGATTCTTTTAATTATTTAACAGGTTGGAAACAAATGTGATGAGAGTCCATCAGTGCGTGAAGTATCGATGAGCGAGGGTGCAGCAGAAGCCGCGAATTGGGGTTGTGGTTTTTTGGAAACATCTGCCAAGACGAATCATAACGTGAACGCCTTGTTCCGTGATCTATTGATGCTCGAAAAAAATAGATCAGTATCGTTACAGCCTGTACAAAGTAACAACGCGATCAGTCTGAAGGAGAAATGCTGCGTAATGTAACGAGCCGAAAGTGGAACAAGAAGAATAAGAAGTTGCAATACAGACGCATTTTCGACAGGCGACAAGAAGCTAAAAAAATGACAAAAGTAACAAGTCGTCGTTGTTGTCATTCTTTTGACCCGGCATAACATCGGCCACGGTAGTCTCGACACGACCAGTAATTAATATAGGTTAGATTTGTGTTAATAAAAAAGGGATGATAGATATCCTAGAAGGCTACGTGTCGTACAGGGTATATCTAAAATACTCTTTGTTCATTAAGAAACTTATTCTTGCGCTAAAAAAGTAATTTTTTGAAACGTTTCGAATTCAATTCTTCAAATGATTGTATATTGTAATGTTATGTTCGTAAGAGACAAATGCAAATCGATTGTTCATACGAAAGTCGATTCGAAATATTAAGATTATTTTTAGTCTCTTTCTAACGAAACGTTACTCCATCGACAATTTTTTTCAATTTTGATACAGAGTAATGTACTTGGTCTCCTAGATTTCACAAGACCAACGATAAATACGCGTTTTTTTACATGGGATTCGCGATTCACATATATACAATATACATCTCATCATTCTTTCATGCAGTGATTTGTGAATCGCGATTCATGTATAATACGCATTCAAACGTATGGAGAATCATCCGATGCAATATTTAATTTCGCAGCATTATTCAATTTACTACGTAATAAGCGATTTTTAATTATTTTAACTATACTTCGAAAAAAAATCAGCAGCGGCAAATCAATCGAGGATACGCGAAATCTGAATCTGAATTTTACGAGAATCATCGTTTGAATATTTTCATAAGTGTATGATGAATATCCGTCATATATGAATCATGATTCACGAATCGTCATATAAAAAAAGGCGATTATTTTATACTAGTAAGCTCGTTACATTTTGGCTTTCATCCGTTTGGCTATGTCGAGTTTACTATGCAAGAGGCGTGATTATTTGAACCGGCAATAACCGATCTTTATATTAAGAACCAACACCAAAAAACGATTTTACATGCCCAATGAAACAAAATGGATTTTTCCTGAAAGAGTAACCGGTACAAAATTGTAATAATGAATATATAAGAGATATACTGAATATGATTCAAAAAATAATATGCTCTTTCACGAAAATCTTCCAAGATCGCTGTCTGAGACTACTGCGATCATTAATTTTGGGACCGGTGTCGCACAAGTTTCTTCAGCTAGGAATATAGCATAAGGGGGAACATGCGAACAAGAAACAACAAAATTAGGTAAAAGTTGTTACAAGATTGGTTTTTGTTGAATAGTTGTAAGGTTTTTGTAACGATGCTAATTAGGATTTATTACGTCACGTTGATATAAACATATACACAAATAAACACACACACACACGCACACATAAATACACAGAGATGAACAGAGAAGTTTATGTATTTACATGTACACGTACAAGGTTCATTAGGCATCACGCGTTTTCCGTGTTGACTCATATTTTAGTGTTTTCCTCCTGTATGTTATATACAGACGTAGGTTTGTTAGTGTTTGCGAGGAAACGTTAATTAAAGGGACTCGCCGCGAAGAGCTCGTTTGTTCCTCGACTCGAGTTTTGTTCATCTTGCTACTCGCGTTTATTGTTATAAAAGAGGTACCTAGATTAGGTTTGGGCAAAATTTTCAATCTAAATATCAGATTTTCAGAATTATTATACGTATCATTAATATAAAACATGAAGCTATAGCTATTTATAAATTTCATTTTGAGGCACAATGATTTTTAATCAATTTCTATTGATAATATTTGATGAATAAAAAAAATAGAAAGTTTGAAAAAATCTTCGGTTTAGAATATATAGGAAGTATTCATAGATATAACATCGAATTTGAAAATAAGTGACATTAAATTTAAATTAGATTTTTAAAATTGGATTAGATTCTAATTTTGGTAATATTTGAATCTATGTTTAGTTTAGATTATAGTTGAGATTTAGTTAGACTTCAAAAGTTTTCTAATCTTAGAACTAGTGTTTTTGAATTTGTATTTTGATATTATGAAATACTATCAGAAAATATAATGGTCGATGAAGAATATTTATCCCTAATACCTATATATATATATATATATATACACACACGTGTATACAAAATTTAACTTAATAGTACATTTTATAATAAACTTTTTTTTTTTTTTTTACAGAAGAATAGCTGAATTCTATTAATCTATCAATTTGAAAAATTTGCTCAGACTCCACCTCGATTTTGTTGGAGCCATTATTACAATTTTCTTTATATTTAATTCTTATTCGATGCCGTCTCTGCATTGTAAGATTTTCTTTTATTTAAGAAATGGAGACACGAGTGGATGAAAATATAAATTCTAATTTGACCATTAGAATATCTGCGTTGCTCGCTTTCTGTGAACATCAACGAATAATGATTCCAGCCACTTTTTACGCAGTCAATTTTCTTGTCTACTCGTGCCCATATGTTCAATCATAGCTTTAAAGGACGAACAGTGTATTCTCTACTCAGTCCGACATATTATTGGGATTAATGAAAGCGAATATTATCCCGTCGATATTACAATAGACAAAGTATCAGTGTCATTACTATGATCATTATTATTACTAACGGTTATTTCACGAAAGGGATACATATATCTTATATTGTATCTTGAGCATACGAGCATATACGTGAGTGCACCATTTTAGAAACGAGGGCGGTTTCACGTCAATTCACTTATATTTCAAGATTTACATTATAGCACAAATCTAATTTTATAACTTATAAATAAAGAAAATTAATTTAAATTCAATTATTATTTAACTATATTAAATTTTTTTTTTTTAATATTGTACATAGTTGAAAAGATGGGAAAAATTTGTTCAGTGTTGCTTTAATTTCTTGATGACATGATGCATACATGCATATGTGCATACATGCATTAGCTCATCTATATGTGAATGTATGCATACATATATATGTTCACTGTTATATTTAGATACAAGGTTAAATAGAGTTTAGTCAAAGGCGAATCTGACCTTATGAAATCGACCCTCAGCAAGCTAAAAGATGAGAAAAAAGAAGATAAATTAGGAGGAGGAAAAACGAAGAAAACACACATACACACACATGCGAATTAAAAATCGGTAAATCATATTCTATGATTTTTTCGGGGCCATACACAATTGATGTAATTTATAAAAATTGTGAGCTTCTTCCGCGTAATCGTAGATCAATTTTTATTCTTTTTATATTATTTGTAAAAATTTGCAATCATAATTTTTAATTTAATCCTTTTTTAATCACGATTAATATTTAAAATTACATTTTTATCTTATCGAAGATTCACAATACAATTTTCTATCTGCACTGGAAATCAGTGCTCCTTTTACGAATATTGATGAACAATTTTGTAGAACAATTTTATCGAGAAATTGCGAAATTATGCTTCTTTTTATACTTCGAATTGATAAAATTCGTGATTTTCAAAGGATTAATTTCGAAGCTTTCTGGTGATATAAACAATTATGTTGTAACGAAGATTTTCTTCAGTGAAATCGCATATGTACTATGTCCTCGTTCGAAGAGTGCGCGTTTTTGTTTGCGCATGCGCCGATCACGCACTCTGTGATTTTGAAAAGTTTATACGCGCCAAGCAGAATAACGTACACGTATAAATTGAGAGCATCAATTTTTTATCGTGTTATGATTGCTAAGGCACGCACGACCATGAAACATAGAAATCACGATGGATCTCTTACGATATTACGCTTTATTTTTTATTATGTCTATATGAATGTCCAATGTACCTTGATATTTCATAATCCAATCGAAGTTATTATTCGAAGACGAAAAGAATTAGAACAATTTTATAGAAGTTGAATTTGATCAAATGATTTGATAAAAAGTTATAAAAGTATAGATAACATTAATATCAGATGCATTTATTATAGAAATTTATAGATATAAATAATATATAAGAAACCTATAAGTTTCAGATCGATTAAAATATTTGATTAAATTTTTATATGAAAAATAGGAAATAATGGGGAATACATTATGAATGCAGCATGCAAATATAAATACGAATGGAATATTATTCTATTAAAATTATATTTAAAATTATAAAAATATAAATAGTATACAAAAAGTAACCAAAAATTTTCAATAACTTTATCAATTTCTTTTTTATAATGTTATAGAGATTAAGTGCATATTTGTGTGCGAAATAGTCGAGTTCCATTCCGAAATATTTATCTATTCGATTTTTCTTCAATAATTTTTTTCTATAGATTAATCTCAATGAACTTATGGAGAAGGGGAAAATATTTTAGTGTGATATTGACTGAGTTTCATCACTTAAAATAAATTAATAATCATTGTAGAAAATTAAAAAAAGATAAAGACAAAAGATATTAAAATTCGTCTTCGAATATCGAAGTTTTTCGAAATCTTTGGAATGTGAAGAAGAGAGGGAGGTCGTTCGTGCCAAATTTCGAAAAGAATAAATACGTTGTCGTTATTTACAGGAATTTACCTATTTAGGCTTAAGCTTGTTGTTAAGTGATATGATCGATTTTAAAACACGCATTCTCTCTTGATATCATATTCGTACCTTCTCGTTACTTTTTTAAAGAAGGGAAGAAAGGATATTAAGGATGTCAATGACCATGTGAAAAACAGCTAATGCTTGTCCACACTTTGCTTCCTGCAGAAATTCAGTGTAAACGAAGAGAGAAGGAATATTTAATGAATTATAAAAAAATATGGTTGAATCGAAGGTGGGGGGGAGGAGGGGGAGGAAGAGAAAAAGAGAAGTAAAATTAAAAAAAATAAAAAAAAAAAACCAACATAATGTAAGTCTGTGATTGATTTGAAAATAATATCAACGAAGTTTTACCATATCAACAAATAGTCATATCAATAATTTATCATATCCATATACATATACTCAGGTTAAACTAAAAAAAAAAAAAAAAAAAAAAAAAAAAAAAGGGGTAGAAAAAGGAATAACAAGAATAGTGGAATGTAGAGAGGAAAGAAAATAAAAAATTAAAAAAAAAAAAAAAGAAAAAAGAAAAAGCTCGAGCGTAAAAAAAAAAAAGAGATATAGAGAAGTCTACATTTAATTGGTAAACTCTCCCACCTTTGACAGTCGTAATTTTTCGACAAAAACGAAGGAATCACATATCATGGCTGCACATTCCATATATTCGTGGGAAGTGCGATTAGAATGGCACAAAGAATGTTTTAATACTTAGTGAAACAAAGAAGAAATGAAGAAAATGAAACGTATGATATCGAGAATGATAGATTTATTGTTGCGACAGCTCGTTTATTATTAATGTTCAGACTCCAAAGTCGTTTAACCGGCTACGAATCTGTACTCGTGAAAAAAATGAAAAAAAAAAAAAAAAAAAAAAAGATAAAACTGCGAATTATACAATCTTGATTCTTGACGATAAATTTTTTCTCTACAACCACATTTTTCTTCTCTCCAATTCCTATCCTGGCTATTTTCTTTCGTTACATCGTCATAAGTATTATTTTATCTTTGTTATTTATATACAATTTTTATTACATACAGATTTATTTTTTAAAAAAAATTCAAATATATTTTCATTACTTTCTTTTATTTTCAGAATGATAGATTTCATTTCAGATTTTATTTCAATTATTCATTATTTATTATTTCTAATGAATTTTTTATCCATTTATTATTTTAACTTTGTTACATCGCTCAAAGATCGAATCGTTATCGTTAATAAAATCGATCGATATTGTTAATAAAAATATTAAAAGAATTTTAGAAAACTGAAAATTTAAATTTTTAAACTTATTAAAGATATAAAAGAATCATTAATATCTCTCATTTCAATTTTTTTATATTTATATTAAAGATCAACATTAAAAATTTCAACTTCTATGCATACTTTGAAATTTAATTAATAGAAGAAAAAGAGTAAAAGAGTTGCATCGAGATTAAAATCGTAGTATTTTGGATCGATTGCTAAGGGATGATTTTATGCACCGTATATATAAAAGCCAGAAGGTATTTTTACCTTGGAGAATGAGACGTTTCGTTACTACCCATGTCCAAGGAAGTGTCAGTGGATCTACTTAGAAAGTCGCAGAAGCCAGAAGTGACCCGGTAGGAGTGGCGGAAAAGAACAAACATTGGCGGGCCAATCGTGAAGAAAGGGTGGTCCTATGAATGTTTATCTTGTTGTTCCTTCGGAGGGATGCTGGAATCACTGCAAAGCCCGATAACGTGTAAGTATATGGTGCAGAGCCAATCGCGCGATACCATGGAAAAATCCAAATGTTGCTGAAGATTAGAACGAAAATTCTTTCAGCTCGCTTTCCATTCAGTCGTCCATCAACAATTGTCCTGTCTCCAGTTAATTTTCCATTTATTATATTCCATTTCTGTTAGATAAATTGAAACAAATAAATCTGTGAATCGTTATCATCATTATTAGTGAATGATTAATAAAAAAAAATTAATAAAAAAAAAAAAAAAAAAAAA